GAGCTGCAGAAGAGACACACCTGCACTAACTGCGTAGCTATCTTGGCTTGCAAATCACCCGGGATAGAGCACGGCGCACCATCACCCTGACTCGGTCACACATGGTGCACCAGGTCCTTCAACGCTTCGGCTTCCAGTTCTCCTCGCCACAGCCCACTCCTCTGTCTACCGGCCACTCGCTCTCAGCTCCACCTTCGGACGAGTCCGTAGAGCTGAGTGGTCTGTACTCAGAGCTTGTGGGTTGCCTCATGTACCTGATGACGTGCACACGACCTGACCTCGCGTACCCTCTTAGCCTTCTGGCTCGCTACGTGGCTCCCAGTAGGCACCGAAAGGTGCACTGGGATGCTGCAAAGAGGGTACTGCGTTACTTGTGCAGTACATCGGGCATGGGGCTCGTGCTTGGAGGACGGGGTCCAGTTGTCCTCACTGGTCACGCAGACGCTTCTTGGTTTGACGACTTGGCTACACAGCGGTCGTCACAGGGTTACACCTTCAGCCTTGGTTCCGGCTCTGTTTCCTGGCGGTCTACCTGCTCGTCTTCAGTCCTCAGTTCCAGTTGTGAGGCTGAGATCTACGCAAGGGCCATGGCTGCACGGGAGTTACGCTGGCTCACCTACCTGCTGACTGACTTGGGAGAGCAGCCTCGTTCGCCTCCAGTTCTGTACGTAGACAACAAGGCCATGATTGCCTTATGTCAAGAGCATAGACTGGAGCACAGAACGAAGCACATCGCTCTGCGATACTTCCTTGCTCGAGAGTTGCAGCAGTGTGGTCAGCTTCGACTTGCGTACGTGGCCACTTGGGCCAACACTGCTGATATATTCACCAAGGCACTTCAGTCTCGTGATCATCAGCACTTCTCTACTGTTTTAGGCCTTGTGTCTACTTTGCCTCACTTGCTCACTGCGTGACTTTGCTTGTACTTTGCTTGTATTGTGTCTATATATACACCTGCATGCTTACTCTTGCTAGGCTATGATCACTGTACTGTTTGTGCTCTTTATATAACTCTGCATGTGAACTGGCCTTGTGGCCCTTTGCTTGTGCTCGGAATGTGTGGTGACTTTGTGATCCACCTTGAGCTTGCTTTGCTTTTCTTGACTGGTCTTGTGACCACTTGTTCTCCCCCACTTTGCCTATGGGGGTGTGTCAGAATGTTATAGTGCTTACATTTGTGTAGGCTATAGTGGGGTAGCCCATAAGGGGTACAACCCAATTAGGGTTAGTACTTGTACCCAACTCTTTCATAGTTCATTCATTCTTGTTCATTCATTCTCATTCATTCTTCTGACAGAGTTGTAGTAGTTTGTAATGAGTAATTTGTAACGATTTTGTTCTAGGAAGAACAAGATCTTGACAGGCCTTATAATCCCCTCTGGCTCTCATACCATGTTGTGATCATGAAGGATCGTAGTAGATAGAAAAAGTCTGCTATGTCTAGGAGAAGGCAATGATGTATTTGTAATGACTTTGGTAATAAAATTTGAAAGAGAACAAGATGATCATGAGATAAAGATACAAGGGTATAAATAGCAAACTAGCTAGCCATGTACTCTGAGGGGTACATTCCCTTGTTAACTGTATTGCATAGCTACAGTAACAGCGACTATTGCCATTCTCGACAGTTACCATATTGCATCGCGTAACCTCTGATGCGGTTGCCGGACGGTCAACAGTCGCGACCGTTGACTGACAGTGACTGTTGACCTTCGGGTGACTCTCGATCTTCCGCATGCTCTATATGAGCTATTGCGGTACTGCTACAGACCCGTTGCTTTGTTATGAAGTGACGCGTGAGTGGAGATCCTTCGGGAATGTTACTTTGACCTTTCGGTTATTCCAACAGCTATCACGGATGGTCACACCTCACCCCAAAAGTCTATCACGTTTGGTCACGGATGGAATCCCAATCTTGATTGCTTGTTACCTCGCGCATGATTCTAGCCTGACATTTAGGGGGACTGAACAAACAAAATAAACCCCTATTGGATGGCACGTTCTTTGGGAGGCATCATCCCTAAACACCATGCGACAAAGTGTTTAGGATTGATGCATCCCGAATTAAATTTTCAGAATCCCAGTCACTAGACCACTGGGATAAAAGGGCTTGTTAAGTAGCGGGTCAATTTTCCCATAACCCCCCAGGATAACGAGCCTGTAACCCTTCCCTGGGATCAATCGGGGATCACCAGTGGACCTCTGACACCCCCCCGTACTGGGATGCCCGAAGTGTGTCGGAATGTTGTAGTGCTTACATTTGTGTAGGCTATAGTGGGGTAGCCCATAAGGGGTACAACCCAATTAGGGTTAGTACTTGAACCTAAGTGAGCGCACTCAGCTAATGGCAGGTGGTTGCGGATGGCTAAGCGGGCAGCAGCATCTCGAGTAAGCCACTGTGAGCGAGTCGAACTGTCGGCTGTGGCGGGAGGGGCAGTAGCAGCTCCTGACGCTAGGTCAAAAAGCGAGACACTGTCCTTAGAATCGCTCAGTAGGTACAGCTGCAGGTCGTCTAGCCACGTGTCAAACTGAACTGGTCTGCCCTCATGATCAAACGCGAGAACCCGAAGCGAAGCCATAGCTGTGCAGCACGCAGGATAGCAGTAGTAGCAGCGGTAGCAGCTGTAGTAGTAGCAGCAGTGACAGTACCGGGCCGGGCGTTGGGCTAGGTACGGGGGCCGGGCGTGGCTAGGGACCGGGCCAGGCGTCGGGCTAGGGTCGGGGCCGGGCGCTGGGCGAGGGGCGGGGCCGGGCGCTGGCTAGGGTCGGGGCCGGGCGCTGGGCTAGGTACGGGGCCGGGCGTGGCTAGGTATGGGGCCGGGCGGGGCTAGGTACGGGGCCGGGCAAGGCTAGGTACGGGGCCGGGCGGGGCTAGGTACTGGGCCGGGCGCTGGGCGAGTGACGGGGCCGGGCGTTGGGTTAGGGTCGGGGCCGGGCGCTGGGCTAGGTACGGGGCCAGGCGGGGCTAGGGACCAAGCCGGGCGCGGGCTAGGTACGGGCCGGGCGCGGGCATGAGAGGGGGCCGGGCGCGGGCTAGGTATGGGCCGGGCGCGGGCTAGGTATGGGCCAGGCGCGGGCAAGAGACGGGGCCACGCGCGGGCTAGGTACGGGCGGGTCGCGGGCTAGGTACGGGCCGATCGCGGGCTAGGTACGGGCCGGGCGCGGGCGTGAGACGGGGCCAGGCGCGGGCTAGGTACAGGCCGGGCACGGGCGAAAGACGGGGCCGGGCGCGGGCTAGGTACGGGCCGGTCGCGGGCTAGGTACGGGCGGGTCGTGGGCTAGGTACGGGCCAATCGCAAAACGGGGCCGGGCGCAATACGGGGCCGGGCGCAGGCTAGGAACGGGGCCGGGCATTGGGCGCGATACGGGGCCGGGCGCGAGACGGGGCCGGTCGCTAGGCTAGATACGGGGCCTGGCGCGATACGGGGCCTGGTGCAAAACAGGGCCGGGTGCAAAACAGGGCCGGGCACGATACGGGGCCGGGCGCGATACGGGGCCGGGCGCGATATGGGGCCGGGCGTGAGGCTAGGTACAGGGCCGGGCGCGGGCTAGATGCGAGGCCGGGCGTGGGGCTAAGGGCCGACGGGGCCGGGCGCGGGCTAGGAACGGGGCCGGGCGCGGGCTAGGGGTCGACAGGCCTAGGGGCGGTTACTAGCAGCGTAGTAGGTGGTGGGCCCAAGGAACCTGCTCTGATTCCATATCAAATTAACGAATGAGAATGAATGAACTATGAAAGAGTTGGGTACAAGTACTAACCCTAATTGGGTTGTAGCCCTTATGGGCTACCCCACTATAGCCTACACAAATGTAAGCACTATAACATTCTGACAGTCTTCGGTTCTCAGCTCCAGTTGTGAGGCTGAGATCTACGCCGGGGCCATGGCTGCACAGGAGCTACGCTGGCTCACCTACCTGCTGACTGACTTGGGAGAGCAGCCTCGTTCGCCTCCAGTTCTGTACGTAGACAACAAGACCATGATTGCCTTGTGTCAGGATCACAGACTGGAGCACATAACGAAGCACATCGCTCTGCGATACTTCCTTGCTCGAGAGTTGCAGCTGCGTGGCCAGCTTCGTCTTGCGTACGTGGCCACTAGGGCCAACACTGCTGATGTATTCACCAAGGCACTTCCGCCTGGTGATCATCGGCGCTTCTCTACAGTGTTACGCCTTGTGCCTACTTTGCCTCACTTGCTCACTGCGTGACTTTGTTTGTACTGTGATCTATATCTATACCTGCATGCTTACACTTGCTAGGGTATGATCACTGTATTGTTTGTTCTCTTTTATATAACTCTGCATGTGAACTGGCCTTGTGGCCCTTGGCTTGTGCTTGGTGTCGAATTATGTTTTACATATTTGATAACTGCTTGTAGTCGTAGTGTAGTTATTATGTTTTGTTGGTGGTGCACCCCTAGCTCTTGCCTATATGTACTGTTGTTCCTATAGTGCAACCCCTTCTTCTTTGGCCAACACCCCCTACCTCTCGACACTCATGTCGACCTCCCTCAACCCCCAAAGCTATGGCTCCTAAGATACTCTAGCCTAGCTACTATTTCTGACATGCTATCAGAGCGGTTCCTCCTCGGACCAGCTTTTCATGGGCCCACCGCGCATCTCTCGTTTCGTACTGCCCGTCGCGCGCCCCTAGCGAGCGATGGTTTCCTGTTGCCCTTCGCGCCCCGCGCGCCCTGCAGCCCTGCGCTCCCCGCACGCCCTGCTGTCCTGCTTCCCTACGCGCCCTGTAGCCCTGCGCGCCAAGCGCACCCTGCTGTCCTGCGCGCTCCGTGCGCCCTGCAGCCTTGTGTGCCCCGCGCGCCCTGCTGCCCTGCAGCCCTGCGCGCTCCGCGCGCCCTGCTGTCCTGCTACCCTGCACGCCCTGCCCGCCCTGCAGCCCTGCACGCCACGCGCACCTTGCTGTCCTGCGCGCCCCGCGCGCCCTGCAGCCCTGTGCGCCCCGCGCTCCCTGCTGCCCTGCAGCCCTGCGCGCCCCGCGCGCCCTACTGTCCTGCTGCCCTGCGCACCCTGCAGCCCTGCGTGCCACGCGCACCCTGCTGTTCCGCGCGCCCCATGCACCCTGCAGCCCTGTGCGCCGTGCGCGCCCCGCTGCCCTGCAGCCCTGTGCGCCCCGCGTGCCCTGATGTCCTGCTGCCCTGCACGCCCTGCAGCCCTGCGCACCACGCGCATGCTGCTGTCCTGCGCGCCCCTTTGCGCCCTGCAGCCCTGTGCGCCCCGCGCGCCCTGCTGCCCTGCAGCCATGTGCGCCCCGCACGCCCTGCTGTCCAGCTGCCCTGCGCGCCCCGCGCGCCCTGCAGTACTGCGCGACACGCGCGCCCTGTTGTCTTGCGCGCCCCGCGCGCCCTGCTGCCCTGCTGCCCTGTGCGCCCCGTGCGCCCTGCTGCCCTCTGCACGTGCATCTGCAGCCCCATGCACAGCCCCTACCCCCCCCCCTTCTCCTCCCTCTCCCTGCTACACGTGCAGCAGTTTGGGTGGTGTTGGTGCAACCCTACGGTTTGCATTCGGCTTGTTGTCCGTGTGCGTGCATGTGTGTGTGCATGGAATGGTATGAGGGCATGAGATAATATATATTTCATGCTTACAGTAGTGTGTGAATGATGAGGCATGATTTTGAATGTGTGTGTCGAGTCAATAGCGAGTTATCGCTAGTCGCGTGTCACGTCGTCGTTTGCGTGTCGTGTGCGTTTTTTTATTTTGTCGTATGTGGAACATTCGGCGTGTCGCAGGTGTGTGTGGCAGACTTCCAAGTGTCAAATGTAAGAACGAGAATGAATGAACTAGCAAAGAGTTGGGTACAAGTACTAACCCTAATTGGGTTGTACCCCTTATGAGCTACCCCACTACAGCCTACACAAATGTATAAACTATAACGTTCTGGCACACCCCCATAGGCAAAGTGGGGGAGAACAAGTGGTCACAAGACCAGTCAAGAAAAGCAAAGCAAGCTCAGGGTGGATCACAAAGTCACCACACGGTCCGAGCACAAGCAAAGGGCAACAAGGCCTGTTCACATGCAGAGTTATATAAAAGAGAACAAACAATACAGTGATCATACCTTAGCAAGTGCAAGCATGCAGGTATATATATAGATCACAGTACAAGCGGAGTCAAGCAGTAAGCAAGAGAGGCAAAGTAGGCACAAGGCCTAACACAGTAGTAAAACGCTGATGATCACCAGGCAGAAGTGCCTTGGTGAAGACATCAGCAGTGTTGGCCCGAGTGGCCACGCACGCAAGACGAAGCTGGCCACGCTGCTGCAACTCTCGAGCAAGGAAGTATCGCAGAGCGATGTTCTTCGTTCTCTGCTCCAGTCTGTGCTCCTAACACAAGGTAATCATGGCCTTGTTGTCTATGTACAAAATTGGAGGAGAACGAGGCTGCTCTCCCATGTCGGTCAGCAGGTAGGTGAGCCAGCGTAGCTCCTGAGCAGCCATAGCCCCGACGTAGATCTCAGCCTCACAACTGGAGCTAAGAACCGAAGACGAGCGCGTAGACCGCCAAGAAATAGAGCCGGAACCAAGGCTGAAGGTGTAACCCTGTGACGACCGCTGCGTAGCTGAGTCGTCAACCCAGGAGGCGTCTGCGTGACCAGTGAGAACAACTAGACCCCGTCCTCAAAGCACGAGCCCCATGCCCGACGTACTGCACAGGTAACGCAGTACCCTCTTCGCAGCATCCCAGTGCACCTTTCGATGCCTACCGGGAGCCACGTAGCAAGCCAGAAGGCTGAGAGGGTACGCGAGGTCAGGTCGTGTGCACGTCATCAGGTACATGAGGCAACCTACAAGCTCTTGGTACGGACCACTCGGCTCTACGGACTTGTCTGAAGGTGGAGCTGAGAGCGAGTGGCTGGTAGACAGAGGAGTGGGCTGTCGGAAGCAGAACTGGAAGCCAAAGCGGTGAAGGGCCTGGTGCACCATGTGTGACTGAGTCAGTGTGATGGTGCGCCGTGCTCTGTCCCGGGTGATCTGCAGGCCAAGATAGCTGCGCAGTTCACCCAGGTCAGTGCAGGTGTGTCTCTTCTACAGCTCGGACTTCACAAGGGTCAGTGACTCAGTGTCAGCAGTGGCAAAGACGAGGTCGTCGACGTACACGAGGACGTAGAACGGCGGCAGCGACGTGTCGGTGCGTAGAAACAGCGACGGGTCAGCAGTAGAAGGAGCAAACCCAAGAGCTGCAAGTGTAGTCCTCAGTGTGTTGTGCCACTCGCGAGGCGCCTAGTGGAGACCATAGACTGGCTGGCGGAGGCTCCACTGGGTACCTGCAGGAAACGTCCCAGTGAAACCAGGTGGTCGGCGCAGCCATATCTCCTCGTGCAGGCTGCCATGCAGGAAAGCTGTGCTGAAGTCCAGAGAGTGCAACTCGTAGTCACGCTGAGCATAAACGTGCAGCAACACCCGAAGAGTAGTCATGTTCGGGGTGGAGGAGAAGGTTTGGAAGTAGTCAACTCCCTGTCGCTGACTGAAGCCTCGAGCAACGTAACACGCCTTGAAGGCATGCGGAGAACCCGGCGGCCGCTTCACCCTGAAAATCCACATGCCATCGACTATGTTCGCCCGAGGCGGGGGAACTTCGTTGACGTAGGTGCCTGTGGACTCCCAGGATGCCATCTCGGCATCCATGGCTGCCTGCCACTGAGAGGAGTAAGGACCCGTAATCGCCTCTGCGTAAGAGCGCGGGGTCGGGATGTCTGGAGCATCCGGGTCTCCCTCAAGGGCAAGCAGCATGGAAGCAAAATGAGGTACAGCAGCTGCAAGACACTCAAAGTCCTCCTTCCTGTCCTCAAGGACGTCCGTGCCAAGAGCACACTCACCCCCGACGGACGGAGGACTGGCAGACACAGACTCAGCATCTAGAGCATTGGCGTAGTCGAGACGGCAAGCAGCAGCAAAGTCAAGCAGCTCAATAACGAGAGAAGACGCAGCAGCAGACTCAAAGGAAGGGTCAGTGACAGCATTAGCGAGGAGACGAGAGACAGTGGGACTGGAAGCACGAGCGCGGTCAGGCGCAGGGTCAGGGACCTCAGGAAGAGAGGACTCAGGAGGAGCAGGCAGAGGAACACGCAGTGGAGCAGAGGAAGGACGGTGTGCCATAGCGTGCGTGCCGGGGTCAGGAGGAGGACGCGAACGAGGAGCGCGACGAGCAGTGCAAACAAGCGAGACAGGACGAGACGCAAGCTCATGACGCTCTGTAAGACCGCCGGACTGCTCAGTGTATGGAGAGGGAGCAGGCAGCGGGGAGGCTAGCTGTAACGGCGGCTGCGACTGATCAGGCGGTGGACACAGGGAGGGAGGAGGAAGACCAGTAGACGACGGGACACCAAGAACCTGCTGAAGCAGGGGAACGAAGTACGGTCGCGGCCTCATAGTGCCTCCAGCACCTCCAGCGCCAGGGTCAACAGCTCCAGCTCTTGCTGCTCCAGCGTCGCCAGCGCGAGTGCCTCCAACTCCAGCTCCGGCAGCTCCAGCGCCTCCTGCGCCAGGGCCTCCAGCTCCAAGTCCTCCAGCTCCAGCGCCTCCAGCGCTAGCTGCTCCAGGCTCTGTAGGGTCTCCAGCTCCAGCGCACCCAACACCACCAGTCCCTGCAGCTCCAGTACCACTGGTACGAGCACCTCCAGGACCAGTGGCCACAGCACCTGCAGTAGCGCCAGCTCCAGCAGTAACAGCAGCACCTCCAGCCTCAGTGTCTCCAGCGCCTCCAGCTCCGAGAGCTCCACTCCAACGGTGTGCGCGCCGAACAAGCCACTCACGCAGCTGCTGCGAAGACAGTCGCGGCAAAGCACCTGTAGGACCTCCAGATGAAGCAGCACCCCGAGGCGTAGCACCCCCAGACTCAACACCCCCAGGCTCAGCACCCCCAGACCCAGCACCCTCAGACCCCGCACCCCCCGGCTCCGCACCCCCAGACGTAGCACCCCCAGACGCAGCACCTGGAGCAGCACCTGAGTCGACAGCTACCTGAACAGGCGCAGTACCAGGGAGAGGGTCTACCTGAGACACACCCAAGGGAGCAGGACCCTGGGGCGGGAGGGGGTCTACAAGAGGTGGACCGAGAGCAAGGAAGAGCAGCGGGGGCGGGGGAGGGGCAGAGCGGTAGGGGAAGAGACGGTAGAAGGGAACCGACTCGTCGAACGTGACGTCCTGAGACAGGAGGACACGACGCGAGGTGGGGTGGTAAAACTTCCAGCCAGGCGCGTTAGGGACAAAGCCAAGGAAGACGCAGGGAATGGCGCGGGCGGAGAGCTTGTCCGTGGACGTATCGCGAACAAAGGCACGAGAACCCCAGACCCGGAACACCGACGCATCGCCAACCTTCCCAGTCGAACGCAGTGTGGGCGAGGTCTCCAGCAAGGAGACAAGGGGCCAGAGGTTGAGCTGATGCGCAGCGTACCGGACCGCAAACGGCCACAGAAAATGGGGAGCGGCCGCATGCATCATGGAGGTACGAGCGACCTCCATGACTAAGCCAATGCGGCGCTCAGCAATCCTATTTTGCTGAGGGGAGTCTGGAAGCGTGAACGACTGGAGAATGCCCTCCCCACGACAAAAGTCCCGCAAGAGGTCGGAGGAGAACTCACCACCTCTGTCAGAGTGCAAACGTAGGACAGGAAGGTCCGTACCGAAGCGCTCGCGGAGCTGGAGACGGACTGTGTGGATCCAAGGGATCAAGACATCAGGGACCTCACCCTTGCTGCGCAAGGGGAAGACCGTGGTGTACCGCGTGTAGTCGTCAACGACCAGCAGAAAGTAGCTCTCGCGGCCCTGTCCATTGACGCGGGCTGGGCCCCACACGTCCATGTGGAGAGTCTGCAGGGGAGCAGTCGTCAGGGGAAACGAGGAGTGAGGAGCGGCGCGCTGCTGCCCCTCGACGCAAGGAAGGCAGGGCGAGGCAGGCGAGGGTGGGAGGGGAGGCAGAGACCTGGGTAGACCAGAGATGAGAAACCGGGAGTGCATGCCACGAAGGCGTGGGAGAGAGGGGTGACCCAGTCGGTGGTGCCACAGTTGAGTCTGGTGCGACAGGAGGCGACACGAGCAAGAGGCGGCTACCTGACTTGACGCGGACACCTGAGCAGACGCAGCGACCTGAGGAGGCTCGGTAGCCAGCGTGTACAGACTCGACCTTGGCCGACGAGTGAACGTAGCCAGGTGACACCCCGTTTGTGTGCACGTGCAGATCGACACACGCTGACCCCCAGGAGTGGTGGTAGTGACCATCGCATCCTAAAGGGCAGCGGCACTCACCAAGTTCGTAGAGAACGAGGGGAGGTGAAGACCTGACAGTGAGCTGGACGGAACCGCCGGACACGGGAGGACAGTGGAGGAACGGGCAGAGACCGGGCCCCCAGAGGGGTCAGCCAGTCTGACCGGGACAGGTGCAGGGAGAGGAGTGAGAGTGGTGCTGTCACGAAAGAAACAGCGCAAGGCGCCGGAGTCCAACGTGAAGGTGTGCAAGGCCTCAGCAGGCGCAGTACCAGGGGGAGTACCAGACGCACTAGCACCTAGAGCAGCAGCCGCTATAATTGGTTCAGGTGGCACACACCGGTAACAGTCACCCTCAGCACTAAAAGACAAAGCATACATGGCAGAGACAATAGCATCATAGTCTAGGTCAAGGATAGCAACTCCCGACCTAAGAAAATCCGTCCAGCGAGGGCTCTCGACGTCGTCACCAAACTCAGCACGCCAGGCGTCGTCAAGGCGGGAGAAGCAGCGGTGCTCAGTGTGAAACTTCCCGCATGTCTGGCCCGCACGGACACCCGTGCGAATGACATACGAGCAGGTCTCACGACCCCCACTCGTCCCACGCTGAACCAACCACTCACGGAGCTGCTGGGGCGACTGGGCCTCGCTCCGACGCTGCTGCTACTGTCGGTGACCACAACCAGGGCC